TGCGTGTGCCAACATCTCATTGTTAGTAGCGAAAACAATGAGTCTTTCTACAAGGAACAATATATTCTAAAAAAAAATGGAGATCTTTTTTAAAGGTTAAAAAACTCATTCAATTTTATGTCTTACAGGGCTTATACTGAGTTAAATATTGTATAACTGTATTAACTTAACTGTGAACCTAGAAACTTGCACCCATTTGTGAAAGAGATGTACTCTTGCTCTGGAGTGTGTTACTGAATATGTTAAAGCTGTAGTGAAATGCTTCTTTTAATCATGTAATTAAAAATTAAAAAAATAATGATTTAAAAAATATAAAAAAAACCCTGAAAGATAATTATTTGATTGCAATTGATGTTTACAATAAAGTGTGAGGATCAACTTGGAATTTCATTATATTCCTTCCTGAGGCTTTATTTTGTCACATGCCCAGGCCCTGGCCCAGATCTAATCATTAAGAGTATCTTAAGATATGGTATGAACATCTGCATTTCTTTTATCATCAACAAACACTGTGTGTCTATTTGTCTGTCTGCTTCATTCCTTGAAGGAGTCTCACCATGTAAGGCAGGCCCATCTCAGATTCACATCCTTCTGCTTCAATGTCCTAAGTGCTAGAATTAAAGCCTACACCACAAAGCCCAGCATTAAAAGATGACCACAAGTTCTGGCATAGCAATTATTGCTTGACATTACGTATAAAGTATTTAATTAACCCCTATTATACAATACTACATTCGTACAGACCTGCTCTTAGCCTATAGGAACTTGATAATAGCTTTACACAAAGACCCATAACATAAAGATATATAGTTTGTGTTTCTTTAAGTACCTTTAAGATCTTCCACTAACACTATTTATCAATCTTATTTCCCCCAAAGAGATCTGTGGACAAACACATTTTATCTTATACTTCTTGTTTTTTCCAAAGATTTATTTTTATTTTATGTGTATGAGTGTTCTGCCTGCATGTAAGTGCATCGTGTGCATTCAATGCCTGCAGAGGCCAGAAGAGGTCATCAGATCTACTGGGTGGAAGGGAAATTACGGACGGTTGTTTGCTACCATGTAGGTACTGGGAACCAACCTGAGTCCTCTGAAAGAGCAGTCAGTGCCCTTAACCATTAAGCCAGCTCTCCAGCCCCATCTTACACTTCTTAAAGTATGCGCCTTCAACTGGCTCTAATCCTTAATACTACACCTTATTTAGAAAACAAACTGAAAATATCTGCTACACAGGACTACTGGACATTGTTTAACTTACTTGAACACACAGAAGCTTTGATAGTTCATTTGGTATTGATTTTCTTTTCAACAAAGGAAATTAGTCACAACACTCAGGAAAATATTACATGGAACTGAGTTAAAAAGAAGGAGAGAAAAAAAAAAAAAAGAGTAGGGTGCTCTACTTCCTTTTCCTAACCAAGGAGGAATTTCCCAAACTCTAGTATTATATCCACAGCCAAGATTTTGTAACAGATGCCTATCAAACTCAATTCCTAGGCATAAGGTTATCATAAGGAAGGCAATGATACCAATTCCCAAAGTAGGCAATTTTCAGTTAACTGTTCAATAAACATGTTACTAGCTTAAGATTGAGTTTGGGTTTTTTTGGGTGGGGGTAGGGAATAACTACGAGACCCTTCAAAGCCTAGTAATAAAGCTTGCTCCATCTATCAAGTCAAATCTTAAGAGAAAGTATGAGTGCCTGAGGACTCTTCCCATCTTTCTCAATAAAAACTGACAGCTGTCATGCTGGCCTCATTTCTGTCATTCTTAAAACACCCTACCTCTAGGGTTTCTGAAAGAACTAAAAGTATGAGTTTTATAAGATGAAAAGGTTTCTGAAGAGCAGCTACAACAACGTTCTTAACATTTCTGCACTGTACACTGAGCTGGGCATGATGGTGCATACACAGTGGTACTTACTACTCAGGGGCTTGAAACAGGAAGTGTGAGGCTAGCCTAGGCTGCATAGTAAGATCCTGTCCCCCCAAACCAAGAAGTTAAGATGATTCATTTTACTATAATTAAAAAGAAACTTATGTTGGCCGGATGGCTCAGCGGATAAGGGCGCTTGCCACACAAGCCAAACCTGGTGACCTGAGTGTGATCACTGGAACCCATGTAAAGGTGGAAGAATACCTCCACAAAGTTGTCCTGTGACCTCCATGTGCATGCTGTGGTATGCGCACATGCACACATGTGCATGTGCACACATAATAATAATAATCTTTTTAAATTTTTATTTTTTTAAAAAAATAAACCTCTTGGAGCTGGAGAGATGGCTCAGCGGTTAAGGGCACTGACTGCTCTTGCAGAGGACCCAGGTTCGATTCCCAGCACCCACATGGTGGCTACAAACCATCCTTAACTCCAGTTCCAGGGGAATCTGAAACCCTCTTCTGACCTCCGCGGCATTGCATGGGACGTGTGCACTCACATAAATGCAGGCAATACACTCATACACATAAAATAAATAAATGAAATATTTTTTAAAATGTTTTGAAAAGGGAGAAGAATTAATTTCAATAAAACTATTGTATAAATCAGTAATAACTAACAGGAACAAGTGTTTACCAAGTCACTGGTACAGCAATATTCAAAATATTTCATATTGTTAATTACTTAAAAAATTTTTGGAGATAGGGCCTTGCAGTGTAGCCTTGTAATGACCTCAAAGCATGGTCCTCCTGCCTCAGGTTCCCTAATGCTGGGATTACAGGGGTGCAACATAATACCAGCTCATGATTATCTGTTTTAAAATTACTTTAACTTTTGTGTGTGTGTGTGTGTGTGTGTGTGTGTGTGCATACTCATGTGCAGAGGGTTAGACAACTTGCAGAAGTTGGTTCTCTCCTTTCACCATGTGGGTCCTGGGGATTGAACTCATGGCATCAGGCTTAGCAGCAAGCATCTTTACCCACTGAGCCATCTTGATGGCCCTCCTTTTATTAATGGATTTATTTTGGAAGAAACATGACTCAAAATAATAATAAAACATTATATTATGATCTACTCCAATGTCAAAACTCTAGAAATTAGTGCGCAATGTTTGGAAATGAATCCTGCTCCTCTGGCGCTTAACATTGTATTAACAGGCAGACCCAACACTTCTTTAGAGCAATACAGTGAAGAATCTTTTATTTATACAGCTGTTTGGCTCCAGGAAAATCTAAGGTAAAAAAAAGTAAAGTATCAGTACCATTTTACTAACTATTATAAACAGACCTGTCATCTGCTACATACAGATGGCCCTGACTCATGTGTACACTCCCTCGGCTACTGCACCAGCTCAAAAGCAAAGCCCAGGCATTAAGGAAACAGTGAAACATATATACTCACAATTAAACACACACACACACACACACACACACACACACACACACCTCTTTTTCATATTACTACTTAGAATACTTCTAAAATCTCTTCTATGAACCCATCTTTAACAGTTAAAGCAAACACCTCTTCAGGACACATTATCATTTAAATGTACAACATCCCTCTAAGTGTTTTTAAATTAAGCCAACCTTCCCAAATACAACAGACTAGACTAAAAACAAACACCTCCTCCTCTTCCAACTGCAAATAATTTCCCAAAAAGTTTTAATAAATTTCACTATTATGACCCAAGCACACCATAACTTGCCAGCACAATGTTATACACCATTTTATAAAAATGGGGGTGGGCAGAAAACCTCAGTCCTCTCAGTGAGCCCTACTAAAAAATCAACTAACTCAGCTAGACACAGGAAGTGTCTCTCTTTTAAATACCACAAAAATGTTTGTGGATTTCTTTAATTGGAAAGTTGATAAAGTATAAAAATAGCTTGCCTTATTCTAGGGTAATTCAAATGAAACAATAACAAATTTCCAGGCTGAACCCTATACATACAATGTTACCTGTACATACAATGCGCCTATACCTGTTCATTATAAAGTATTAGGACTGGAATTAAAGCTCTTGCACAAAAGCTATAAGTATTTTAAGTATGTGTGACATCCCAAAGAAAGGAGGAAGCATAACTGGCAGAAAATATTTTAAAATTCCTAACCACTCTTAATCTAATTATATTGGTTCAGTAATAAAGAAAATTTGAACAAAGGTGAGGCACAGAAATTAAGGCTGAAAACAATTCATTACTAAAGCCTCCCTAACTTTAAAAACATGTTTATGAGCTGGAGAGATGGCTCAGTGGTTAAGAGCAGTGGTTGTTCTTAAAGAACTGGGTTTGGTTTCCAGTACCCATGTGTCCGAACTCCAGTTCCAGGGTGTCCAATACCTTCTTCTGGCCACTGTGGGCATTGCATGCAAGGGTGCACTTACATACATGCAGACAAAACACTCATACACACTAAATAAATAAATATAGTTTATAAATAACTATGTTAGTGCATGATGACAACTCATAAGCATACACATAACCTCACAGAGAAAAGAAACACTTCTCCAAGAATACTTTAGTCCTTCCTTTCTTATTTCTGATTAATCTCTTGCTTGTTTAATACACTTTGATTATGCCTAGCAGTGTAACACTCCAATACACCCAGGCGTTAAAAATAATACATATCAGAACATTTAGTGTGCTGTTTGACAGTTTCAAGTTGCAGGAATTTTAAACAAATGCCAAGCCCAAGGAAAGCAATGAAAACTGAATCTGATACTAAAGTGCTACTTCGAGAAGTAACTGAGGTGAAACTTCAACCTCTTGTACTACAAATTTTCTTACCAAAGTTTCTTCCAATGTATATTAAAACGTTTAAAAAGCACTTCACACATTATTAAATTCTGGCTTTAAAATTAAAGTCTACGACCACCTGGGCAATTATTTTCGAAAATAAAAACTGTTCCTTTAATCATGTTCAGCAGTACAATGACCAGAATTGCTTAAAATTCACAGAAAGGTAGGCAGGGGCTTTGTGGAAAGGATGCGTGGGTAAGTGGAAAGGAGGCAGCCAGAAAATAAGGCTGTATTTATACCAACCCGATAGAAACAGAAAACCCACTGGCAATTTGACTCCTTTACAACTCAGGTCCTGGGGCTCAAAGCTCCAGATGATGAGCAACGCTGTTTAAAGGTCTTCCTAGTGCTAAGAGTCGCAGCCACTTCTAGGTTTCAAGGCGACCCTGGCTAGTAGTGCTGGAGCGAGTTACCTCGAGGGGGAAGGCTGTCCCCGCTCAGGATAACTGCCCTCGCCTCGCCAGGACCCAGGCTCTTCCCACGTCCCGCAAAGGCAACGTCGCAGGAGCGCTGGGAGCGAAGAGCAAATGCTCCGTCCAGCTGAGAGTCACCGGACGGCGAGGGTTGGAACCGGGTCCCGCAGCCCGGGAAGGCGAGATCGGCGGCCAGCGCCAGCCCCGCTCGGCGGCGGACAGCGACCCCAGGACCCGCCACTGGGTCGGCAGGAGCTGCAGTCCGAGCCCGCCGGCGCCCGCTACAAACTTCCCCAGCGCGGCGCGAGCGCACTTACCCGCGGCAGAAGTCATGGTTGCCCCGTGCCGCCCGCGCCCCTCAATCCAAGGTTCCCCTTCCGTCCATACTCTTTTGAGCAGAAGCGAAAAGCTCCTGTAGTACCCGCATTCCGTCCCTTTCCTCAGCTGCACAGCCCAAGCGCCTCACAAAGGCGGAACGCCGGCTCCAGAGACCCTCAGGGCTCGCGGGAGCGAGCGGCCGGCTACAGGCGAGCGAGCACGCGCGCCGACCCGCCGCGCTCCGGGACGCCAGCCAAGCGCGCGTACGAGCCGAGCTCACCACCGCCCGGCGGGCTTGCGCCCCTCCTCAGCTAACACCCTCCCCCCTCCTCCAAAAAAAAAAAAAAAATCAGCTCTTCAGGCGCCCCCTGCCAGTCGGTGCCGTAAAAGACAGACAAAAGCCATCTTTCTGGCCAATAGAAGAGCTGACTCTCCCTCTTGCTCCCGCCCCTCCATCCCACATGCTCACCCTCTCCTCCAATTAGCACGTCGGAAAGGGGCGTGCGCCGCCATGTATGCCGGGAGTTGTAGTTTTCAGCCCCCCCCAGACCAGCGGGAGCCTAAGCCTGGGTGCTGCCTGCTTTCCTGCCTTCATTTCCCATCGTGCTGAGGCGGTGGCATGGCGGAGAAGGATGACACCGGAGTTTGACGAAGAGGTGGTTTTTGAGGTAAGGAGAAAATGGCGGTGGGTATGGACTGCCTTTGTTTAAGAAGGACGAAAGGAAAAGCGAGGAGGTAAGAGGCAAAGCGATTCCGAGGGAGGCGAGAGATCGGCTGACGCGCGCCAGCCGGCCCGGGTCACCAATCCTCGGCTATTTCGGGGCCTACTGACGGTCGCTGCCTGACAGGTGTAGCCGGAGAGGCCTTAGCGCGGCTCGCCTCTGTCCCAGGTCCGCCCAGAATTCCGGGTCCTGGCCCGGTCGCCCGGCCCTAGGCGGGAGCCTTGTTCATTCCCTCCGCAGGATGCCGGTACCGCCCGAGACTGAGCCTTCATGGGGCGGGACCGAAACATGCCAGGTACCCCAATATAACTCAGCCTCCTCCCTTTTCATCCTGGGTTTTTGCGGGTCTGTATCCAGAAGTGCCTCGGGTCACCGTCAGCATCAAGGCGTGGTCATCGGAATGCAGGCGACAGGTGCCAGTTTTCTGTCAGGGTTTGCAGTTATAGGTGTGAGACCTGCGGCGGATGGTTAGGGCCCGCGCATCTCAGCATCCAAGGTCCATTCTTTTGTCCTTTGCTATTGCGCTAGATGTAGTCAGTTCTGAATGGAAGCTGAGGTCTGGATATGAATGCTTTTGTGTAGGACTGTTTTAAGACGTTTCTGCCATCTTGAATGGGGAAAAATATTTTAAATGCCATTTTTCCATGAGACAGATAAAAATTCACACCCCGTAATGTGTGTATGTTTTACTTTCATTCACCCAACTAGATTTTAGAAAATTAAGAAAAGAAAAAGGAAATGACCCATGCTCTGCAATAGGAGAGTAAGGTATAGTACAGAATGTGAATTGTTGAGATATGTACAAGCTATCAGTGGAGGATTAATTTGGAAACGATTGTCTGTACTTGACACTTCAAAAGGCTACACCCAGTAAATAATAATTGGAAATAAAAAACTATGAATCAAATTAGAAAGATGAAGGGGAGAAAATGTACTATGGGAAAAGGGCTTTGAGTATTGAGGAGTGGGGGTGACAGTACCTGGTGTGCATTTTCAGGAGCTGGAGCTTGGAGGGTTGACATGTCAAGTGGTTTTATGTGGCTACAATTTAGAAATAAGAAATGTGAACCTTTGCTGTGATGAAGAGTCTGGGTGTGAGGAGTTCAGTATAGAGAGCATATGTTTTGGAAATGAGAAAAATGAATGAATGAATGAATGAATGAATGAATGAATGAAAAAAATGAATGAAAGAAAACCATGAATTGGACAATCATCCCTAAGGTAAAATTGAGGTAATGGCTACAGATTGATGCGGGAGTTAAAGGAGAAACAAATCTAGGTGGCTTAGATTTCTAGAGAAACTGGGTGACTGCATTATTTTTACCCTACTGTGATTTCTGAACATAATAATAAATACTCAAAAAAAAGTTGTATTGGACTGGGGGTGTAGTTCAGTTGTAGAGTGCTTGCCTAGCATGCACAAGGTTCTGGGTTCAGTAACCAGAACCACATAAACCTGGCATGGTGGCACATACATACCTGTAATTCCAGCACTCAAAAGGTGGAGTCAGGAGGGTCATAAGAACTTGAAGTTCATCAGCTACTTAGTAAGTTGGAGCCCAGCCTGGGATACATGAGACAATCTCAAAGCAGTATTTTATTATAGAAAAATAAAGCAAAAATATTAAATTATTCATTTCCTACCACCTGAAGATCACTTCTGTTAACAATATGCTATGTGTTCTTGTAAGTTTTTTGTATTCAAATGACTATTTTTGTATGACTTTATTTAGTTTTGGGCTTTGGGTTTTTTAAGACAGGGTCTCACTATGTAGCCCTGGTTGGCCTAGAACTTGCTATTAGACCAGGCTCGCCTCGAACTCACAGATATCCACCTGCTTCTGCCTCCAAAGAGCTGGGTTTCAAGGCATGACCCACTTTGCCTGGCTGTATAACTCGTTTTTAACATAAAAGATATATCTCATTGAGTTTTGTATGTATTTTTATTTAAAATTATCATTAATCTTTTCCCATTTATCATTCTTTGAAACAAAAATTGAGAAAGAAAGGGCCTTGCTACATAGCCAAGACTGGTCTTGAACTTCATATCTCCCATCTCAGCCCTCTGAGTATGTAGGATTACATGTGTATGCCACTCCCTGAAGAATAGTGTTTTATTGTTTATATTTACATTTACATATTTATTAGCCAATTTTATTTATTTTATCTATTATTCAGTGCTGGAGATTTAACTGTGGTTTTGCCCATGCTAAGTATGCCACACCCTCAGCCTAGCTTCTTAAAAATTTATTTACATGAATTCTTCATATATTTCTATGCCATATCTGTGAAATTATCTTTCCATTTTTCTGCTTGTTTGATCTTTATCATATTAGTTTTTATTACAATTCAGTATACATAGGAGTGGACACTTATCATGAGTATACAAATTTATGGATGTTCGCCTCTTGAGCACACTCACGTCGCCAGTATCCAGATCAAGAAACAGAATGTCATTATAGCCCCTTCCTGTTGCTTTCCAGTCACTACTCCCCATCCCAAAGAGAACCACTATTCAGAACTTTAATAACTAACCTAGATTAGTTTTGTGTGCTTTTATTGTTTATACACTGTGCAGTTTCATTTACATGCTCTTTTTGTGTCTGGCTTTTTTTTTCTGCCCTCTGGCTTTGTGAGATTCATGTATATGATTATGTGAGCATTTTATTTTGATAGTATCTCATGTGACTATTGACTATCTTTAATCAGTTCTTCTAAAGATGTTTATTAGGTCTGCTGTTAAATTACAAATAGTGCTGTTGGGATCCTGCAGTATATGTTTTGTTAAATATATTTCTGTTGAGGATATACCTAGAAGTGGAAATACTGGATCATAGAAAATACTTATATTTGCCTTACATAGATATTGTCAAACATTATTCCAAAGTTATTATCCTACACTCCTGGAAGCCATGTGTAAGAAGTCTCATTGTTCTGCATCCTCACCAGCACTAAACTTCAGTCTTTATATTCTTCTAGTAGCTATGTTTTGGTATTGCTGTGTGGTTTTCATTTTTGTATATTCTGATGAGGAAGTTAAGATGTTTAATGGTCAGTTGCGTGTCTTTCCATTGGTTCTTTCTTATTAATAACAGAAAGAAACTTTACATACATTGGATATATATATGTATATATATAATATCCTACATCTCTTAAGCAGTATGTGACTTCTACACTTTTTAAATGAAAATGTTTAGTGTATTTTATTTATGTGTATGTGTATGTATGTAGACATGTGTCACAGCACACATGTAGTGGTCAGAAGGGTTGGTTCTCTCCTACCATATGAGTCCCAGCAATTGAACTCAAACTGTTAAGCTTAGCAGCAAGTGACTTTACCCCACTAAGCCATCTCATTGGCTTGGCTTCTGAGCTACTCTTAAAGGTTTCTTTCAAAGGACAGAATCTCCTAAATTTATTAAAATCTAGTTAACCCCCCCCCCTCAGAAAATCTAGTTAACCCTTTTTCTTTTATGGTTAATGTTCCAAGGAAATATTTGAACACCCTAAAGTTTCAAAGATATTTTCTCCAAAAGCTTTATTTAACCTTTTGCAATTGGTTTGCCATCCATCTGGAACTGACTTTTTTTTGGGGGGGGGTGCTTTTTGAGACAGGGTCTCCCCATAGCCCCAGCTGTCCTGGAAGTCACTATGTAGACCAGGCTGCCCTCAAACTCACAGAGATCAGCCTGCCTCTGCCTCCCAAGTGCTGGGACTACAGGCATGCGCCACCATGCCCGGCTGGAACTGATTTTTGTGTACTATCAACACATATCCCATGTGGATATCCAGTTGACCTGGCACTAGTCTTTTCTTGCTGAAATCCATTGCCTTTTTTATAGTGAAGCTACCTTTTAAAAAAGGAAATGTCTCGCTGTGTAACCCAGGCTGGCCTCAAAAACTCACAACATCCAGAGAGGGTTTCAGTCATATTGCTGTCACACTAGGCTGCCGCTGGCTGTTTTTTGTTTTTATGTTTGTTTTTTCTTATGTTCACTTATTCTCCTTATTGTGCCTTTGGCCATTCCTGGCTTTGTTCCATGTGACTTCTAAAATGATGGGATTGTGAATTTCAGTTTTAAAAAAACCTAGTGAAGGGCTGGAGTGATTGCTCAGTAATTAAAGAGTCTTTGCTGCTCTCACAAGAGGACTTGCCATTTCCCCACACCCACAAGGCAGTGCACAACCACTGAAACTCCAGTTCCAGGAGATCCAGCGCCTTCATTCCACCTCCATAGGCACCGTGCAGGCACGTGGAACACTTATATACATGCAAGCAAAATAAAAATAAATTTTATATATATAAATAATAAATCCCTCTTAAAGGAGAGTGGATGTTATTGATCAGTTTTGTTTTATGGTTATGATTTTCTATTTTAATAAATTTTGTCTTTTAGAAGACATTGTAATATAAAGACATGGGCTCTGGAGCTGGATAGCCTGAGAAATCCTACTTTAGCTATTTATTAGTTACTGTGACTTTGAGAAAGTTACTTATCAATAGGAATTAGAGATAATATTTACCAGCAGCAGTTGTATTAAATGCCTAACTGTAAGTGAATTACTTAGATAAGGACATGGCATATTATAAGTACTCAGTGTATATTATTCAAAATTTCCAGCAAATTGTTCAATATTCAGGTACTTAGTAGGTTTCTTTTCCCTTTGTTTTAAGACAATGTTTTTATATTTGCCATTTCCCAACAATGGCAAATGTAGCCCAGGTTAGCCTTGACCTTTCAATAATCCTGCCTCTGCCTCATGCTACAATTTCAGGTGTATAACACCGCACCTAGCTTTTTTGCTTGTTTGGTTTTGGGAGGTATTTCATTTTGTTTTATTTTGAGACAGGGTTTCACATTCCTGGCTGGCCTGGAACTCTATATAGCTAAGGCTAGCCTTAAACTCACAAAAATCTGCCTGCCTTTGCGTCACAAATGGGGAGA